GCCGCCGCCGCCGAAGCCGCCCGCGGCCGCCGCCACTGCTGGAGCCGGAGCCGGCGGGGGGAAGCAGCCATGCCACAGAAGCAGCGCTGAGGCGAGCGGGGGCCGTGGCGGCGGCAGCAGCGGCGGCAGCCCAGCCCAGGCCGCTCCCGCCTCCCCTCCGGCCCCGCAAGAGGAGGAGGAGGAGGAAGAGGCGGCGGCGGCTGGAGGAGTAGCAGCAGCACCACCAACACCACCACCAGCATGCCGCTCGGAGCCCACTAGCCGCAGCCCGCCTCCCTCGCCCGGCCGGGCCGAGACGCCTCCCTCCTCCACCTCCACCTCCTCCTCGCCGGCCATGCCGAGCGGCAGCGCCTCGCCGTCGCCTCAGGAGGAGTCGCCCGAGCTGCTGGTGCTGCTGCCGCCGCCGCCGCCCAGGCCGCCGCCGGGCCTGCTGCTCCACTACCACCACACCGCGGCGGCCCTGCCGGACGCGCGGCTGCTGAGGGACCGCCTGGCCGGCCTGGGCCTCCACGAGGCGGGCGAAGGCGGCGGCGGAGAAGAAGAAGGGGAGGAGGAGGAGGCTCCTGAGGAGGAGGAGGAGGAGGACGATGGCGGCGGCCTAGAGCTGGACTTGTCGGAGCCGCCTGAGGGAGGGGAGGAGGAGGAGGAGGAAGGCGGCGAGGAGGAGGAGGAGGAGCTGCTGCTGCTGGAGCCCGGGGTCGGCGGCCCGGCCTCGCTGCTGCTGGCCTCGCCGCCTTCGCTGCTCTCCCCCGGGCTCGGCTCCGTCTTGCTGCCGGCGGCGGAGCCCGAAGTGGGCGGCGGGGGGGCGACGGCGGCGCTCTACGGGCCGGGCGACGATGCCCACTGCGGGATGATGGCGGCGATGCTCTCCCAGGCCTACGGGCCGCCCGGCGGAGGAGGAGGAGTGGCGGCGGCGGCGGCGGCGGGGTTTCAAAAAACAAACAAACTGATTTTATCAAGCCCTAACATAAACTGAGTCACCCACCCGCTTGCTTCTTCTTAGTTATCTGAAGTATTTACAATGTGTCATGAAGGTGGTTCTGCTTTTTTCATTGACTGCTATTTATTTGGTGGGTTCCTGTTATTGCTTTCTCTACTTCTCATTGCTTGTTCCAGGGAATTTCTGGTCTTTGCAACCACTGGACTTGAGGTGGTTCAATACCTCCCACCTCAACATTATTTGGAGCTGCCTAATCAATACTGATGGAGCTGCGGTGGCTTAAGTGGTTAAGACGCTGAACTGCAGGCTGTGGAAGGTCAGTAGTTCAGCAGTTCGAGACCCAAGTGTGCCGCATGACGGAGTGAGCTCCCGTCTCTAGTTCCAGCTCCTGCCAACCTAGCAGTTTGAAAGCAAGAAATTGCAAGTAGATAAATAGGGACCACTTCGGTGGGAAGGTAACAGCGTTCCGTGCGCCTTGGTGTTTAGTCATGCCGGCCACATGACCACGGAAACGTCTTTGGACAGCGCTGGCTCTTCGGCTTTGAAATGGAGATGAGCACCGCAATCCTAGAGTTGGACTCGACTGGCTTTCGAGCAAGGGAACCTTTACCTTTAGCTCACACTAGCTCCGCTTAGAGGGAACACTGGACTTAAGTCCGGGCTGAGCACAGTTTGAGTCCCTAGGAAGCTTCCTAGTGAATATGGGGTTGTAGGGTTATTGTGGATCTGATATGCAAACAGTACTGGGTTTTAGGAGATGCCATTGTACGCTGTTCGTCTGGGGCTTAAGTCTCATTGAACACAGATTTGTGCAAGAGGAAGTTTTCAAGTGGTGATGGGGTGGTGGACTTGATCCCAAAAAATGGCAGTGAGGGGGAGGGGATTGAGAGGGAACCTTAAACTTAATATTGTGCCCTGTTCCACAAAGTGAGAAAAGTGTTAAGAGTCCAGTGGCGCCTTAAAGGCTAACAAAATCTGTGGTAGGGTAGGAGCTTTTGTGAGTCACTGCTCACTTCTTCAGATCTGAAGAAGTGGGCAGTGAATCGTGAAAGCTCCTATCCTACCACAAATTTTGTTAGTCTTTATGGTGCTACTGGACTCTTATTCTTTTTTACTCCTATGCGGCTACCTGTCTTCATCTATCAACAAAGTGAGGTTTGAGAATATGCGCTGTTAACATGAAATGAGATTTGCTCCCAAGGAAATTTATGCGGGTTCTCCTATCTGCAAGGAGTAAATAAATGGGGGGGGGGTTTTTTTGCTGGATCCCATGCACTGATTTGAGCAAGTGTTGATCCCTCACAGGACGGAATATGGTTGGGGCGGGGAGGCTGGCTTTGAACAGGGTAGGGGGTTATGAAAGCCCTTGAAACTAGGCCGAGACTTGGCAGTCCCCACATAAACAAGACCTGAAATGGGCCCTGTGGAAGTGTTTGCAGATTGGGTGGAGGTGGGCTTGGTAGGTGGATAATCTGGGGTTTAAGTGGCTGGGTGTGAATCTGGTCTTGACCAGATAGGTAGACAAAAGGAACTGTGACTCTGGAACCTTAGAAGAAGGTTTTTTCAGCCTGGGGTGAGGGGAGAGCAGTCCACACTGGATTTGGAAGAGAAATTTGAGACTGGGTTGAGGTTGTTCAGAGAGCTGAGAAGACAACTCCTGGGCTTAAGGCTCTCTGGTTTATGCAGGGAGACGCTTTATTCCTTTTATGCCCATTAGAGAAAAAGCTGCCATACAAGAGTCTTGGTCGGTTTTAGGAAGAAAAGTCGCAGGCATTTTAATACATAATGCAAGAGGCCTGAAGCAAGCCTGGTCATGTTTCACAAGAGAGACTAGGCAGATTTTGCTGATGGTAGAGCTACTTGGGTCTGTGTGAAGCGTTTCCGAAGAAAACTCCAAAAGGAATAGTTGGGGGCAATAAGTTGTTGTCACTCCCAGTGAATGGGATGGGATTGCTTTAGAGCAGTGGTTTTTAAACTTCGTAAAGTGGGACCTGTCTCGATACTCACTGTAGCTTTTAGAACCCACTTGCAAAGCGATTCCATGCTACTTTTGCCTGACATAATACAGGAGTTTCACCTAAGATGGCACTAAACAAGTTTATAGGTTATTTTTCATGTTTAGTTTTTATAAATACAGAGTAGTGTGCTGTGCAAAATGGCCACGAAATACATTACGACGACCCAAACACATTTATGAAAGCCCAGATTTGTCACCAGGACTCCTATGACCGCCCTCTCTCAGCTTACCCAATTCTCCCCCTCCTTCCTGGCCTCAAGGCCGGCTTTTGAGGGACAAAACTTGAGCTCACAAGCCTTTGAGGAAGTGTTGCATTGGAGGAGGCTTTGTCAGGAAAAATAAGATTCATCACGTGCGAGAGATCTGATTCTTGCAGAGTTCAAGAGAGGTCTCCAGCTTCGTCCCAGGTCAGATTTAGGGTGGTCCTTAAGAACTTAATGGTTTTAAATTTCTATCATGTATTTTATATTGATATTTATACTGCTGTTTTTATTGGTTCCGCTATGTAAGCTGCCCTGAGCCTGCTTCAGCGGGGAGGACGGGGTAAAAATCAAAGTAATAAATAAATAAACTTCCTGTCTAAAAATAGATGGGTCCCCAAACAGAATGCCTGTGGTATGTTAGAGTCACCATCACTTGAACAGGTGAGACAAGGTCCAGGAGCATGTTGAAGACTAACAAAATCTGTTGGTGGGGCACCAGGTTTTGTGAGTCACTGCTCACTTCTTCCGATACAGCTAGAGTTTGGTTGGTGTCGTTGGTAGAATAAATCCTTGGAGCTATGAGGATTAAAAAGAAGGACCTGCCAGGCAAGGCGTTTGTGTGGTTGGTAGTGCTTAAAGTGTTAATTTTCAAGGGGTTATGGGTTCAGACAATAATTTGGCAATGAAGGTCAGTGGATGTCCCTGGGCAGATCGTGTTGGCTGTGAGAATAACAGTAGCGCCAGCATCTAGGCCAGGGGTGTCAAACATAAGGCCGGGGGGGGGGGCGTATCAGGCCCGTCCAGAGCTCTTATGCGGCCCGCGAACAATTGATGGGAGGGAGGGAGTGCTGGGGGGGAGTGGGCGGAGCCACTCTATTGTGGCTTCAGCATGGCAGAACAACCTTGCCTGCAGCAGTCGAGCATTGTGGGAGCGTCTGCCCAGTGCTGCACTACTGGCTCTCCAGTCTGCCTAGGTAGGTTTTCCTCTGCACAGCTCTCCCAGCCCAGGGGGCCTTGCAGTGAGGACACACCAACTCAGAGCTTACCAGCTGCTGTCCTTTATACAGTTTCTATCTCCGGTACCTGGCATTACGTTTTATGGCACACATGGCCTTCCCGGCAAAGTGGCATTTATGTCAGATCCGGCCCTCATAACAAATGAGTTTGACACCTCTGATCTAGACAATCCCATGTGTTCTTGGAGGGAGGGTGGGGTTGTAAAACGTAATGATGACCTGCAGGTGAGGATGCTAAAATATCTCCTTCCGCAGAGGGCTTGGCTGTGCCTCAACAAGGGCTCAGCTTGACAGTTCTGTGGTCTCTTTCAAGAAAGGATATGATACACCTTGTTGCAGCTTAGGTGGTGATTTACTGTAGGCAAGTGAGCCGCTTGGAAAGAGGCTGCATTCTTGCAGTTAGGCCCTCAAGCAAAACAGTGTGGCGTGTAGCTGGTGTGTGGTGGTGGTAGGACAGAAAGGCAGCTCTCTGGTGGAATATAAGCACTTTGTTTCTTAGGCTGTGAAACTCTGATGTGAGTTGGGGGAGGAGGGGGACTTGTTGGCGGAAAGTAAAGAGCAGGGCAAGTCTCCGGGCGTATAGTTCGGGTGAGGCACAGCTGGTCTTCCCAGCTTCCAGAAAGCAACTTCATTGATTAAAATAGTTGCACTTCCTTCTCTGCATATGATAAAAGGGCCTCCAGATTTCCTACAAACACAAACAATTGAACAACTGCCACTCTTTTATCGTCCATTCTTAGCCAGTAGGGTCAGTTCTCCAGTGCTTTTTCTGACGCCCCCTTCCTCCTCTTTAAAGCTGGTCCCCCATCTGTCCTTTTTTTCCCCTCCCGCGGATACAATAACCTGAAGTTGGCGGAAAGGAACTCTTTGAGAGTGCAACAAAGCACCAGGCCAGAGTGACCTTCTAAGCATAAACAAAGAGCTGAAACGGGAGCCGTTGAGTTTGCAGATGCAAAGATAAGCTGTAAAAGCTGGGGGTTACTTGTTGCAGTGATCTTTACCTAGCAAACTCCTTCCTAAAACCCTCAAAAACAGGTCATCCTTGATTGTAACTGAACGTGAAATGTACCAACCTTTAAGCCGTTTGCTCCTAGCAAAGATGTGACTACCAGTATCCATCCTCAGTCGGTTTTCGAAGGGCTCCTGGTACAGGCAAAGATAAAACTTTCTGGACTTTTAAGCTGACATATTTCCATTCATGCTGAACTGGACCAAAACTAAAAGGCAAGAGTTTGACTGTGAGCAGAAAGCATGTTGTGTTTACCGTTTGCCTGGCCAAGGTCTCTTGCCCTCCTACTCCAGCTTCCTGTTATTGCTTCTGCCAATTAACCTGTTTTTTCAAACTGTG